TCACCTAACATCATAAGTAGCAATTTTTTTTTTTTTTTTGCTTATTTTGTTTTTATAATAAATAAAAAGAAAACAAGTAGAAAGAATAGATAAAGAATAGGGAATGCTAGTGTTAGAGGGTCGTTCAAAAATATTTAAATACTCCGCATACTGAGAGCGGCTCCCTGATGCAACAAAATTATATACAATATTAGAATGTTTAAAGAAGTGGACACGAAATCGCGGAAATCAGCGGGAGCGGGAGCGGGATTAAGAAAACAACTGGTTTCGGTACCCAACCCTACCGAGAACCACGTCTGAGATGACCAGAACGCTGCACAACACTGCCAGAATTCAACTTGACAGATGGAAATGCATACAGTTTCAGATCCGGCCATGGGTGAGCAAACAGATCTATGCCCAGAGATGCTGGGGGACTCAGGGAGAACCAAAGTGGGCATTGCGACAACTCCTGCGATGCAAAGAGGTCCATTTCTGCCCTGCCTAACAAGTCCCAAATCTGGGCTACTGTTTGTCGGTTCAGCATCCATCCCCCTGATCTTAGCTTCTGTCTCAACAGAAATTCCGCTGCGAGGTTCAAGGCCCCAGGACGTAAACCGCTCTCAGGGAAAGGAGTCTGCCTTGAGCCCAAAGGAGAAGATGGCACGCATGCCTGTCTAGGGTGCGTGACCGTGAACCACCCTTGGCGGTTTATGTAAGATTCCACTGCCATGTTGTCCATCCTGACAATCACATGACACCCCCTGTAGTGAGGGGAGAAAGTGTATCTGTGCCAGAGAGATGGCTCTCAGCTCCAGGCTGTTTATGTGCCAAGAGAGGAACTCTCCCGTCCAAACTCTGCACGCTGGTCTGTCCTTGTAGACCGTGCCCCAGCCCATCATAAAGGCATCCGTCGTAACCATTTGGCGACGGTAACAGCGCTCATTCTGACCCCTCTCAGAAGAAAGAGGGGGTCCCGCCATATTGAAAGGGCGCAGAAGCAACTCCGTGACACCTTTAATAAGCGAAAGGCTGGTCCCTTCAAGCGGATCCTTAAATGTTTCATCCACCAAAGGAATGGCCTCATATGAAGCAGCCCCAGGGGCAGCACCGGGGAGGCTGCTGCCATGAGGTCCAAGAGCCTGTGACAAGTGCTCACAGAAACATGATGGCCTAGCTTGAAGCGGGGCAAGCATGTGTTGAGGCGGGAAATCCAGGCAGGAGCCAGACAGACCTGCATCTGAACGGAATCCAAGTGAACCCCCAAGAAAACAGTCAGGGGGTCAGAACATTCTTTTTTTTAGGCCAAGAAACAGAATGTGGCGAAGGAGGACATCCCTGTGGTAACTCACTAATTCCATGGAGTGGGCTAAAAGGAGCCAATCGTCCAGATAATTGAGTACACGGATGCACTGGAGCCTCAATGGGGCCAGAGCAGCATCCATGCACTTTTTGAATGTCCTTGGTGTCAAGGCCAGGCCAAAGAGAAGAACCTTGTACTGGTAAGCCTTTGCCCCAAAGGCGAACCTGAGGAACTTCCTGTGCCGCCGAGCAACCTGAATATGAAAATAGGCATCTTTCAGGTCAACAGTGACAAACCAGTCTCCTGCACGAATTCTGTGACATAATAGCCTTCCGCGCTCAACATCTTGAAGTTGCGGAGTTGCGACAGAACTGAAGTGTTTAACCGAACTGAAATGTGCGGCGAACCCAAGGCGATACCCCTGGTAGATGCTTCCATTCGTGAAAGAACTGCGATAGAGGAAGCAGTGTTGCAGACTAGAGGACCCCCCTGTGTTGGGGTGCCGAGATGGTCCGGAGGGGATAACATCATCCACCACGAAGGAGAGCCTCTGGCGTCATGATGCGGGATGAGGAAGCCCACAGGAACCGATGTGAGGACCTGGTCTGTGACTGGTACAGGTCTGCTGGCTCTGGTAGAGAACTGCACGTGTCATCTATCACGTGAGCAGCAGGTGACAAAGAAATAGGTGGTAAGGGGAGAAAGCCTGGTGCGTCTCCCATCCCCCACATCAAAAGAGAGTGAGACTGAACAATTACTGCACACCGAAACGCGCTGAGTAGGGAGGCATGGCGGATGTGACAGAACCAAATGAGGAGAGCGTGTTAGAAGTGGGCAGAAACGTATGAACGGTTTGAACGGAGAATTTCACAGAATTTACACTTAGAAGCGCCGTAAACCACCTCACGCGAATGCAAAAAACCCAAACACTTAACACACTTACTGTGTGTGTTGTCGCTCGTGTGGTGTCGCTTTGATGTCCTGAAGCTTGATCGCGGCTGCGGTTAAATGCACTTGCATCTCCGAATACTTTTATATGAAACTGTTGTAAACACAGTCAGTTATGTTTTCAGAACTGGACAAAACATTTGATATATCGAAATAGAAATGTGCATTAGTGTGAATCAGTGTGAATGCAGCCTGTTAAAGTTTCCACTGTCTGTGATCTCATCAGTAATAATCAAACAGCAAAAAAAGAAAAAAAAACATAATTATGATTGTCTGTAAACTTTCGGATAGCCTACTTAAAGAACACTTATTTTTAAAATAAGTAATTATTTTAAAAAGTAGCCTGCTTATATAATTTAATTTAAAAAAATAATAAGTAAAATTTGCACAAAATACATTTTATATAAAATGTATATGAAAATGTAGTCATGTGCAGTAATATTGAAAATTGAGAATGTGACGCATAGTGATATTGAGTTGAATCGAATTGTTGACATGATAATCGTACACTCTAAAAAATGCTGGGTTGTTTCAACCCAACTTTGGGTCAAATATGGACTAACCCAACCGTTGGGTTAAATTTTTACATTAAATTTTTAACCCAAAAGTTGGGTTAGTCCATATTTGACCCAAAGTTGGGTTGAAACAACCCAGCATTTTTTAAAGTGTAATTGAATTGAATCGTGAAACCAGTGAAGATTCACACCCCTATTTATAAGATGGCAGTACTGACTTACAGAGATTAAGTAGATCAAGAATCGTTTTGGAATCGGATCGTGACTCTCGGAATCGGATCGGATCATGAAGTGCCTAAAGATTCCCACCCCTACTTCACCGCAAGGAAAACAGTGTTCCACTATGGCAGTCGCCAAAGTGCAAATGAAGAAAGCTCAACGAAAAACAGTCTGAATATCGGGCCAGAAAAACCGCAACAGAAGGGCTAAATTGGCTGCTTCGTGAAGGCAGAGAAATCTGAGGAGGCGTTATTATGGGTTATTGAATTTGGACAGAAGTGACATTTTAAAGTTAAAACACCCTAAAGATGGAATTGTTTCTTTCAAATAAGCAGGTTTTCACATCACAAGGCGTTAACTGATGGACTGGAGTGGTGTGGATTACTTGTGGATTATTGTGATGTTTTTATCAGCTATTTGGACTCTCAGCCTGATGGCACCCATTCACTGCAGAGGACCCATTAGTGAGCAAGTGATGTAATGCTACATTTCTCCATACATTTCTCCAAATCTGTTCTGATGAAGAAACAAACTCATGTACAACTTGGATGGCCTGAGGGCGAGTAGATTTTCTGCAAATTTGTTGGTGACTTATTCCTTTATTTCTTTTTTTTCCATTCAAATTGTGAAAAACTTATTTGCTGATACAATTTTTAATGAAAATGTTGTATTAAATAGCATTTTCACTAGTGGCCTCGAATATTACTGCATGATACAATCACTGTATCATGGAGCAGTAGTTGTTGTTTTATTTTTATTTTATTTTTTCTCACATTATCATAGTAACCATTTAGAAAGTTCCAGCACAGTCCTCTGAACTTTGAGTCATGTATATTACCTATGTTGATTATGACTCTTGTCTAACTGCTGTCTTACTCTTCTCTGTCACAGTGTGAGTGTACAGTCAGCATGGCAGAAGCACATCAGGCTGTGGCCTTCCAGTTCACCGTCACTCCTGATGGCATCGACCTGCACCTGTGTCACGAGGCCCTGCGCCAGATCTACCTGTCTGGCATCCACTCCTGGAAGAAGAGGTTCATCAGGTTCAAGGTGACCTCACAACTGACCTCCTTATCCAACTGATTAAAGAGTTACTGTACATGAGTAACATTATCTAATCAGCTCTGAGTGTCACTTTGAAATATCAATGTTAAATTGATTTTTTCAGGATAGTTTGTGCTTTGAAAATGATTGCAAAGCCCATTTGAATAGAACTATGTTTTATTATATTAATATTTGTTTAATATTAGATTATTTTGTGTTTCCGTAGAATGGTGTCATGACTGGAGTCTATCCAGGAAGTCCCTCGGGGCTCCTGGTTGTTTTGGTGGGTTACATGTCTACCACCAAATATGCCAAAATAGACCCATCCCTTGGGATGTTCACTAAACTGTCAAAACACCTACCAATCAGGTAAACCACTAAACAACAGTCACCTTTTTGTCATTAGTTATTAGCAATTTATTATGATACATTTGGAAGATACCCTGTAAATAAGTCAATAACATGACAATCTTGCAAGAAGTTGTTAATAGGAAAAAAGTATAGCTGTCAGAAATTCAAAGTCATATGCAAACATGAAGGTCTGATTCTTTGCTGTGTTTTAGTTTTATCTAGTTTTGTTTTGCTTTTTGTTTTGTTTTGTTAAAAAAGTGTAGCTGTTAAAAGTCCAAAAACATATGCAAACACAAAGGTCTGATTCTTGCTTTGTAGTTTTAGTTTTTTTTGTTTTGTTTTGTTTTTTGTTAAAAAAGTATAGCTGTCCAAAGACATATACAAACACAAAGGTCTGATTCTTGCTTTGTAGTTTAACTAGTGCTTTTATTGTTTTGTTTTGCATTTGTTTGGTTTGTGTTTGTTGTGTTGTTTTCATAACTTTATTTTGTAACTGTAGCAGGAGACTTTATAGAACTTTTGAAATCCGTTGCTAATGAAAAGCTCAAGCATCAGATGTTTCTCTTTGTAGTTCTTTCAATCTAATATCTTCAAAGCAGATTACAATGTTATACAAGAAATGTGTTTTATTACTACTGTATATCACACGCAGTTCACCAGCTTATTTTATGAGTAGTCATAACAAACAATTCCATGTCTCTGAAAATCTTATTATACCTTTCACTCATGTACTCAATACTTACAGTGTAGCTACAGTGCTGATAATAACAAATCATTACTTAGCATTCCTTAACTAGTGTTGAAGTAGTGATCTATGCTGATTAAATATTTTATCATTTTAATAATTAAAAAAATTATTAGTAAACTAATAATAATGAATTATTACAGTGTTTCGGAAAGGGCACTGCAGTTAATTTCTAACTTAACAGCTGTATTTCCCTTCAGTAAGTACGTAACAGAAGAAGGGCAGCGTGTTGTTGGTGGTGTGCTGATTGGGACCGGATTGTGGATTGCTGTGACTTTCGTAATGAGAAATGTCCTCAAGTACTTGCTGTCCTGGCACGGCTGGATGTTCAATCGCCATGGATCTTTGAACTTAAAAACAAAAATTTGGTTGGTGAGTGTGGCCTTGATGGAGAATCGATCACTTAAAAGAATAATTCACCCAAATAATATGCTATATTATGCAAATATTGGCCATTTTTGTAGTCCACATGACCCAGAGTTTTGGTTTTTAGGTGAACTATACCTTTAACACACCCAGCTTTGTAAATATTTCCCTAGAGTATATTCAGAGAGAGTCCAAAGTCTAATAAGTTTGTTTTATAACATAATTTCAGCACTGTTCTGATAATTGCATATTTCTTTTGAAGTTTTCTCTGCGTCATTGTGTCAGCTTTTGATATATAGCTGTTCACTAGAACTTGTCTAGTTTTATAATTGGAAGAATCATGCTTGTCTCATGTTTGACTCTTGACCCAGTATTAACGCTATTCACACAGGTGTTAGTGAAGTTATTTTCGGGGCCAAAGCCAATGCTGTACAGCTTCCAGAGTTCACTACCACGGTTACCAGTGCCTCCTGTAAAAGACACAGTTAGAAGAGTAAGCAAAGCATTTTTATTGCATTTTAAAAATATCTAATTTATTAATAGGTCAATGACTGATTTTTTTTTTGTAGTGCACTTCTTTTTAAGTACCCTCACTTCTTCACATCTTTATTGTTTTTTTCAGTATCTTGAGTCAGCTCGTCCTCTGATGGATGATGAACAGTACAAACGTATGGAGGGGTTGGCAAAGGACTTTGAGAAGAACTTGGGCCCCAGACTGCAATGGTACTTGAAGCTCAAATCCTGGTGGGCCTCCAATTATGTGAGTTTGCTCTTTTTCTACTATTCAGAATCACTCTCAACAGATTTTCTTGAGGGATTTTGGGAACTTTTTTTTTTCTAAAGTGCAGTCTTGTTATATCTCATTATAAAAATGCCTCAACCTTTTTCAAGTTTGCCTTTCTTTCAAAATAGCATGAAGCTTCCTAAATAATGAACCTTAAAGGGGTCATATGATGTTGCTAAAAAGAACATTGTTTTGTGTATTTGGTGTAATGAAATGTGTTTATGCGGTTTAAGGTTAAAAAAACACATTATTTTCCACATACTGTACATTATTGTTTCTCCTCTATGCCCTGCCTTTCTGAAACGCGTCGATTTTTACAAAGCTCATCGGTCTGAAAAAGCGAGGTGTGCTCTGATTGGCCAGCTATCCAATGCGTTGTGATTGGCCGAATAAATATCTCTTTGGATTTGAGACTTTAGTCTCTGCAACTTTACAGGTCTTCTTTATGCACCAAGAGCTTGTATCACTCCAAAGAGAAAGGAAAAATTTAAATCGCATCATATGACCCCTTTAAGTTATCTTTATTTGCGATTTGTGCGAATTGAAATCGCATCATATGACCCCTTTAAGTTATCTTTATTTGAGATTTGTGTCATGCTGTAACGTGGGATTTGGGTTTTGTTTCTTGTTCAGGTTTTCTGGTCTTTTATTTTGATATTTTGCCTTGTTTTATGTTCCTGTCGTGTGTTCCTTGCCCCTCGTGTGATCATGTCATGTGCTACTCTTGTCTGTGTGTCATGTTGTGATTGGTTGCTTTAGTCATGTGCCTTGTTTCCCATTGGTTGGTTTGTGTCTTGTGACTCTTATTGTTTGGTATTTATAACCCTCATGTTGCCATTAGGTGTGTTCGACTTGAACCACGGCTACAGACGGCAGTCATCGAGAGTAGCCGCTTGCAGTCGAGCACTTTCTGCTTGCGGTAGTGACTCTAGCGCGGTTTGCATACTCTGTCACAGATGAAGTGAATTAAATGCAATATTTGTCAAATACACAGACATTTCTGAAATGTTTTCATGAGCAACAGAAACACTTTTTATATACTGCTTAATACAGCGCCATCTGTTCAAGAATAAAGTTCAACATAATCATATACTATTTAAATACTAATAAAGTGGGGGTAAATATGCTTTTATCAGTGTTTTATGATAAACGTGACTCAATATAACATTGCGACTACATTAAAAAAGCTTTTACTGTTCTAAAAACACAGATTTGTGGCCATTATTGGAATTGAAAAGGTTAGAATAAACCCGAAACACACGTGATCGTTGTCATGCGGTGAATCTGGCCAATTGTGAAACTGAAGAAACTGAAGAAACTGCGGCGGCTGAGTCAGCCGGCTGCTCTCGAAACGCTATCACGGCACTTTGATGCCACACATGACAGTCATGTGGCGTCGGCGCCGTCTCAAGTCGGACAAAATTTTTAACCGGCATGCACTGCTTCAAGTCAGAATTTGATCGATCTGTGCAGCGCTGCGTTAAGTCGAACGCACCTATTGTCTCTGGTCGAGTATGGTTCGTGTAACCTGCTGTTGGTGAGTTTGTGTTTCTGTTCATGCCAAGTCAAGTCTGTTCAAGTCAAGTCAAGTCTGTTTAAGTTAAGTCTGTTCATGCCGAGTCGAGTTTGTGTCAAGTCAAGTCTTTCTTTGTTTGGATTTTGGATATCACTTTGTTAAATAAAAGCTGCACATGGGTTCTTACAACTTGCCTTCAGTGGACTGATTGTTACACATACCTTGTATTATGAATATTTGACTTTGTTCTACTGTAATTCTCTCAGGTCAGCGACTGGTGGGAGGAGTATATTTACCTCAGAGGTCGAGGACCAATCATGGTCAACAGCAACTACTATGCAATGGTAAGACTGATATGCAATGGCTAATCTGGATTTTGTTAAAAAGAAAGTCAAATTGTCAAAAAAAAAAATCAAGATGGTGAAATTTATTATGAAATTGATGAAAGTATTTCATCAAAATATGAAATTAACAAATTTACATTACGTTTTCCGAAAACAATTTTTAAATAAATCTTTCACATGTGTCACGGCACCAATTTTGTGATGTAGAATTGAACAAATTTACATTAAAGGGGTGGTTGACTGCTTTTTTCTATGCTTGATTGTGTTTATGGGGTGCAGTCTAACATGTGTTAATGCTTCATTTAAAAAAAGCACATTATTTTTCACATAATTTACCTTTATTCTGCACTGCTCTGTCCCTTCTCCTATGAACGCTCTGATGATTTCCTGGTTTTATGAAGCCCCTCCCTCAGAAATATGCAATGGGCTCAGATTGGTTAGCTGGCCTAGTGTGCCATGATTCGCTAAACCGCCTAGTGCAGTCCAGAAACGTCACACCTCTAACCTCAGTGGCATGTGCTCCGGTTGTATTGTAAACAATGGCATCGTCAGTATTGCTTATCAGTTTGAGCCCGATTGAGACCCAGAGAATATTAGTGAAGAGGATCGTGCAGAACCTGTGCAAGCACGGCTCTTACAGGACGTTTCAGAATGGTATGTTTTTTTGTTTGTTGTTATCTCATACTTTTAGATGCGCTGTTATTTGTAAATGCTACTGCTTATGATAGCTTTTAATATATGGTTTTATCCTGATTAAAGCTGTAATACAGCAGAATACATCATTGCGTTGTAGCATTTTTGTAACAGTAAGAAGTGTTTGCCAGCAAGTATTGCTCACTACCATGGCAATCGCGTGCACATCCGTGTTTAACGCTTCTCATTGCTATGTGGAAAATATCTGTCTGTCTATAGACATAAAGTGTATAATTGGAACTCAGTTCATTGATAGAGCTGTGACGAGATGATGATCTGAATGAGAGAAAGAGAGAGAGAGATGCAGAGCAGAGCGTGTGCAGAGCAGGGGAACGCAAGGAAAATGATAAAAAAACGCTGCTTTAGAACATTGATTTTGAAGCTTTTGAATCCATTAGAATCGTTAGAAGACAGAATCGCGATTCATATATGAATAGATTTTTTCGAGCACCCCTAGTTTTGACGGCATGGCAACAACTCTTCCTCTTCTCTAAAGCAGTGCAACATGGCCTCGCCCCCTTTGTTGCATGTTCCCGGGGGTGGGGTTTATGTAAATTTCAGGGTTTGTGATGTCACCAACCCGGGAAGTAGCTTGTTATAGACCCTACGAGCCGTAACTGTAGGCATGA